AAAAGTCAAGTCCGTAGGGGACCGCATTTTGCCATCTTTAGGTCGGGTCTGTAGATGACCAATTGCCGAAACGTGTCTGACATATTGTAAGAAATACATTAGCTCTAACAGTTGGATTGAAAAGATCCTTGTTCCAACCATTAAAATCTTGTTACGACATCGTTATTAGCTTATTGTATAGAACAATAGTTATTGCTTGTTACTTTGTGCAACTTCAATGTTTTAAGTTGTTTGTCATTTCAAGATGGGCATATGGAGATGCAGAGAATGTAATAGTCAGGGAAACGTTTTGTCGTAGTGTGCATCTTACCCAAGCGGTTATTTACACAATTGTCGCCCCTGGTTTTTTGCATCCTCTTGCGGATTTTAAGCTTATTGTCTTCGGGGATCGGCGGAGGCGTAAAAAAGACACTCGGCTTTCCAAACATCCGGAGGAGGGCGGCGACCGTGTAATGGGTAGGATTTCACGTGTTTCTAGCCAAGGCCGGCCGGCGACGAGTCGTTCCCGTTCCCATTCCCCTTTCTATCGATAGGATCCAGGGGTCCCGATTATTGAGGTAGCCAGTCTCACCGATTATTCACCTGGAACACAGTCCTCAACGCACATCGAAACCCAGATTATAGTCGATTGTCTTTAAATGAATTACTTTAAGAATAACAACGCAGGCGTTTAGCTGTTGTCTGCGGTGTGTGGACCGCGTCTCGCTTCGTCGCGTTTCTCGGAAAACGTCTTTCTTGCGCTGGTTTTGATCATATTTGTGATTTCCCTGACGGAATTGGACTGCTTCCGGGAAACGGCGGACACATCGGATCTCCATGTACTCGACAGTTCTTTCTTATTCTTTTTCATTTAACTGTTTGCAATGTACATTTTGTTTTTCGTATTTTAGTTATCATGTATACCCACCAATTGACTCGATACGCTTAACTAAAGTAGGTGCCCAATGGCAAGTCGCAAAGAAACGTAATACACACTTAAATTAGGTGCTATTTTCCTTCGTGCAAGCTTTAAATTTTAGGGTTTAACAATACGAAGACGGAGGACAGAGCGTCCCTTCAGTTTGGGGGTCATTGGGAGGGCTGCTCATAATGCCTGAAGGAGAGCTTTACGGTTGCCTATAAGTTGACAGTAATACCTCTCGTGGTATATCTAGTACCTAAGTACCCTTTTATTTTTAGCATGATGAAGATGATCTAGTGATTAGACTGAGAATTTTATTAATTCGATTTTTTTTTAATTTGCGAGTCATAAGCAGAGGTCCATATTATACAACCATGTTGCCAGGGTACGTACCTAAGGAAGTTCTTATACCGGCGGACCTAAGCGGGTTATTGCATGTTTGTGTATATGATTTTTCGCATATACATGGACTATGTAGCTTGGCCGTTTACTACCATTTTTGATTTCTATTTATGTCAGGCTCGCCACGGTATGTTTCGGCTACGAGAAGAAACTCATTCTGACCGAAAATGTACATACATACAAAGGTGAACAAAGACGATCGTTGTACTCGTAAAGTGACCATGTGGCATCCAAAGTTCATCACACTCTCGACATGGCCGAACTTTACTTTACTTTACCATTTTTTGCTTTTCGTCTGAGCGGTTTATTAAGATATTTCTTTCTTTTCGGGGAGAAGAGATTGGAGATCAATGATCGTGTTAACGATACATACGATACATCGGTAGGTGAAGCATACCGATGAGGACCTGCTTGTTTTATTTTACTCTCTATTTACTTGCACCTATTTTTTAGGCATGTTCGTGTACATTTCTCGGTTATCTTCTTTTTTTTTTCTTTTTTTTTTGAGGGGGGGGTTTGATATTTGATATTTAATTTTATATTAACGAAATTTGAATGCCTCTTGCTGCTTCAAACGCTTTTTAAAAGCCAACATGTGACAAAATGGAATGGATCAATTTAAAAAAATGTGGAATAAAAAATTTTCTTTTAATTGTAACCCATTCTTTTCCTTAGCCTTGTACTTGTGCAGGGAATTGTGAATCACCTGACTCAACTGTTTATTCTTTTATTTTTAATTTTTTTTAATCATCTCTTGCGGGCATCTGTGTACAATTCCTTCTGTAATAAGAGTGGAAGGCATTAAACCTTGTGCCGCTTCCTCAATTTGTATTTGCCCGTTTCCTCAAACGCGAACAAAGCCATTTGCTCATTGCCACGCGGTCGACATTCGTGTTTTGTCCTCATTTTCCATACATTATAAAACGATAAATGTGGACTTTTAATTAATTGATATTATGAATGTTCTACAAACGGGAAATTTTAGATTTGATTCACGGTTTTTTTTTTTCGGTGACAGTTCAGCGCACATGCCCAATGTGTAATTCTAATAACACTTCTCGCACTTACAACTACAACTGGCCGCGTCTCAAGAGACACTAAAACATATAAAACAGTATTTTGTCTAAAGTAGTACAATCCAAGCTACGGAGCTCCATAATAGAGAATCTGCGTTTTGTTGTTGTTAAAAATAAGATGTTTATTCAATCACAGATTCTCTATATAAAGCAGTCCTAAAGGTACTTTCTCCAGTACGAACCATCAACAAATAGCAAAATATATTCAGTTAGCAAAGCTGCTTAACAAATTAATTCATTAAGGCCAGTTAATTCATTAAGGACAGCACAATTCATACATCAAAAATCCATTATATACATTAAAAAAACCACTAAATTCATCACATAAAGCAGATACTTGTAACATACCACGATCCTTTTTCTTTGTCTTAGATCTTCGATCGTTTTATATCATATTTCTAGCCCAAAACCCAGGTGAAGGTATTAAATACAGCCGAAAGCTCAAGGGAGAAACAGGAGTTTTTTGTTTGTTTTTTAAATTACATACATCAGTTGCTGAGAAAGATATTTGCAACACACAAGAACCACTTGCCCAGTGGGGAACTACATCGTATGCATTTTTCTCTAAAGTACTAATGAAAAATCAATTAAAGCCGCAGGCACGACGGAGAGGCTTCCTGACCTACCCTAAAATTAAACTGAAACTGTAATTGCTGCTGAAGACAGATAGTTCACCTTTTTTTCAACCATCTTTCTGAGTTGCTACATCGGTTTTATAACTATTTTTTGAAAGGCTGAAATCCTGCTGAGAACACGTACAGCCGAAAGTACTTCGGAAATGGAGGTTTTTCATCTTCAGCCTTCACGACTATACAATATTTTCAAAAACGTGGAGCTTATCTCATAGGATAAGCTAATCCCCTACCGCAGGATCGGGCAGTGCGAGCTGAGCCACCAAACGACGAGGAAGGACTCTCTCTCAATTTGTTTGAAGACACCTGCTCTTTTTATGTAGATGGCAAGGAGTTAGTCGCGTATGTCATAGGTCACATATTTTTATTTTTTCAAATCTGAATACATTTATTTTTTTGAAGGTTTTGTTCTAATTTATTTGGATCAGGTCCCAATTTTTGTCTTTTCCGATTAATTTGTTTGAGTTTGGGGCACAATTTTTTTTTTTTTTTTTTTTTTTTTTTGCTAGACTGTCTTAATGTGTTCTATAGTTGGAAAAAAGACTATTTTTGCCTTCATATCCTCGATGTTTTCTCCTGTAAGACGCGATTCAGTTTTTTCTCATCTCCAGTGGTTGGTCTATGTTGTTGCTATATGACGTCGTGATGATGTTGACCGATGGGATACTATTTTCTCTTAGTGTCTTCTGTGGTCGGAAATTCTACAAATGTCTAGATCAGTAGGATGGTATACTACAAAACTAACAAATAGTATGCAAACTGCAGACCTGTTTCGGTTTTAGGTCATCACCAGTGGTTAGTCTCTGTTGATGCCTCTCTCTGCTTATTTCCCTGACGTGATGGAATAATAATGGCATAAAGTTACTGTTTTATCTTACTCTGTCAGACAGACATAGAACTCACAAGTCTAGCCCGTTGAGGTGTGTACTACAACCTAACAAATATTGTAGGATTCTAAAGCTCGGTCGTTCCTGATCAATTTTCGACTGCTTATCCATGCTGTTTTCGTCTGTCTGACTAAAAACTGCCGAAAAGTGTCTGACAGACCAAAATGGCGGGATACAGTACAAATTGATCGCAACGACATGACCCATCATTTCTACAGAAGAAATCTCATAAATAGGCTTCTAATGCAGGTGAGATAGATTCAGACAAGCATAGTTTCATAATCAATGAATATGGAATTCAAAGTAATTCATTTAAAACTGGATCGTTGAGCAAAATTTGGCCTGTTTAGAGAAATAATTTACAATTCTCCTTTGGTTTAACTACACGAAGGCTCGGTTTTGAGTAAATCCCACGTAGAAAAATCGTCCCAATGCGGTCGCCTTCGGGCTGTTTGACGAAAGAAACTCCCAAGACGGTATATCTGATTTCTCACCAGATCCGACAGATTCGAGGAGCCGGCCGAGGTCAAAGCCAACACGGTCGAGGGGGATTTTTTAATTTAAATTCAACAATAAATAATTAATTTAAATAAGTAATTTAAGGAACATTCAGAGAAATGAGGAAACATCACCGATGAGGGATGAGCTGTTACGTGACATGACACAAGCTGCTCTCATTCCACGATCTATCTGAGAGCTATTCTATACTTTTAGCTTAAAAAAATTAATGCAAAGCCATTAAACTAGTGCTTAAACGATATTGAACAATAACTCAGAGAAGTTACTAAAAAAAATACATCACAAAATTAATCCCAAATATAAAGAAGACAATGACAATAGACGTGACTTACACAACTGACAAAGTTTATGGCGTTAAAAGAGATTACAACCATATAGAAAAATTATATGTTTTAAGCTTTACGTCTCTTTTCTAGTTGTGAGATTGGATTTATGGTCTTTTATTAATAGACTTAAAAGTCGCTTAAGCAGAGCGTGACTTTTAATAAAACGTAACCTAATAAAAGACCGTCATATTGTCGTAAAACCGCTGATGAAATTAAACATAAAAAGTAATGTTCTGTCGTTTAAGAAAACTTCTTACCTGCAGGACGCAGATCCCGAATTCGTTTGTTGTGTCGACCATGACATGTTGGGGAGAATAGTACCCCGCGTAGACGTAACCAGATATGCAGACAGCGATTATCGCTGGAAAAAAATTTTTAAAATAGACTGATAATTTCGTTGATTGAAACAAATCAATAGATAGATATCCCTTGGAGTACTACTAGTGTTTTTAGTCAAACTTATTTTGATACTGATTTTCAAATTTTGTTTTCAAATTGAGAGGCACTGGGAGGCAGAAAAAATGACCATCGTTTTTTAATAATTTCTTAGATAATCCTCCATACATTATTTTACAACAATATTTGGTCCGTTTTAAAGGATATGAGGTAAGACTTGTGTTTACAATTGGATTTTGTTAATAACTCTTTTCTTTGTTGGTTTTTCTGTAAAGCATCTTTCTAACGTTCCCAAGGTTCGATTTTTTTTAAGTTGTACCATTTTTAAGTTTCAAATTTGTTTGAGTGATATTTTAAGTGATACAGGTTTGGCTAGAATCATAACATTGTTGGAAGGTGGAAGATGCCAAGTGTATGTGGCTTGGGTGCTTGACATGCCTAGAACAACTGTCCGAAGGGGAGGTCATCGATACCAAGATACTGGAGGTTACTTAAGTAGGCATAGATCAGGTCGCCGTCTTGTCATCTCCGAGAGATGATCGTTTTATTGTTTCGATTGTACTCCGTAATCCACATTCTACCTGAGATTAAGCAACGATTTGATCAAGTAGAAAAGTTAGTTTACCTACTGTAAGACGAAGACCTTCAGAAGCTGTAACGCGAGAAGGTCTGCTACTGGTCCAGAACTTCTAACAACAGAACAGCTCGGTTGTTTTGCAAGAAATCACATCAATTGGCCTGAGCAAAATTGGACTAAAATTTTGTTTTCGGATGAGTCGAGGTTTGAGGTTTTCTGACGGCCGAGAGAGGGTTTGAAGAAGAACAGGAGAACGATATATCCCAGCAACATTTTCACTCCGATGAAGCTATAGAGGTGGTGCTTTTATGGTTTGGATTACTGTGGAAGGTCGAACAAACTTGATCTTCATCGAGGGTCCCCTAACAGATGCGCGATACATTGAAGATGTGTTATCAGAAGAAGTTTTTCCTTACATGCGACGGTTTTATTTTTATGCAGGATTTTATGCAGGGCCCCATGCAGCTAGGATCGTTGGTGACTAGTTGGAACGGGCTTCAATTCAATGTTTGCACTGGCCAGCATATAGCCCTGACTTAAATCAAACCTTTGGGACGAGCTGTCTGAAAGGGGAAAACATCGCCCAGTGATGTCAGAGAATTTGCAGGAATGGCAATATTGGAGGTTATGAAAATACATTCAAAATGCAGCACTACATTCAAAACCTCATTAAATATATGCCACGTCGATTGCAAGGAGTGCATCTTGCCTTTATGGGCTAACAAGTAAAACTGTTTGAAGACTTCCACACTTTATGTATATACAGTGACATACTTATGGGGTAAAATGCAAGCTCGATCAAAAAATCTCTATCCTGAAAAGTTGTATTTTTTCACATTTCAGTACACTTTTCTCCCAACCTTTTCATCAAACTGAAACGATTTTTTTTCGTAGAATCGTTGCTAGCAATTTAAAAAAATCACCCATGTGCGGAAAAATATAATTATTTTTTTTAAATAAAAAAGGTGTAAAATTTTGTCACAAGTTTACGTTGTCAAAAATTACAGATTTACTATTATTTAAAAACTTCCCTTAGCTAAAAATTCGCAGTATACTAAGAAAAATAAAACAATAAAAGATTGGTTTTAATAGACCAAATAGATTTTAACAAAATGGTCCCGAAAAATGGTAACTTTTTGGCCAATGTTTGAACAATTTAATAACCTTGACAAATTGCTGAAATATGAGAAAAACTGTAAAGTTTGATGCTTAAATACAAAGTATAAACTTTCCATAAAAATAAATCAAAATCCATCGAGTTGAATTGAAGTTAAACCATATAAGAAAAACCAACAGTTCGTCTACCCGTTTTATAGATTAATTTTACAGCAGACAATCATAGCTAGCAATTTAAAAAAAACACATGAGCGGAAAAATATAGATTTTTTAAAATATAAAAGGTGTAAAATTTTGTCACAAGTTTAGGTTCTTGTCAAAAATTACCGATTTACTATTTTTTTAAAGCCTCCCTTATCTAAAAATTCCCAGCATACTAAGAAAAATAAAACATTGGTTTTAATAGACCAACTAGATTTTAACAAAATGGTCTCGAAAATGGTAACTTTTTGGCCAATGTTTGAACAATTTAATAACATTGACAAATTGCTGAAATACGAGAAAAACAGTACAGTTTTTTATTATTCAGAAATCGTGAGATGCGGTCTGGTGTGATGTAGGTTTCAGAAAAACATTTTTTTTTATCGTGCCAACGTTTCGATCTTTATTGAGATCATCTTCAGGGCTCAAAGTGTTTGTCTTCTGTGTAATTGTGCCATTCTTGCGTGTCGTGTTGAGAGTGCCCACTTAAATACAAAGTATAAACTTTCCATAAAAATAAATCAAAATCCATGGAATGGAAGTGGAGTTAAACTATATAAGAAAAACCAACAGTTCATCTACCTCTTTCGAATTAGACAATTCAAGAACAAATAAAATAAGTGAAGTGTTTAAATAGAACTTATTTCAAGTTGTAAGTAAAGCAAGTCTGTTGCTGATCTTTCACGAAATGACTCTGCGTTGGATTTTATATTTTCCAAGGATAAGGGAAGGATTTTCTTTTTAAAGGAATTGATTTACCTGTATATTGCAAGACAGCCATAATTGTCAGTTCGACTCGATTTCTTTAAAATATGTGTTTCTCATAACGTACAGACGCGCGAACTTGCATGGACGGGTGTAGCATGTCGGCCTGTGGCCCTCGGCAGTGTCGGCTGAGACTGGATCGGATCGGGCCGAAGACCGGTGCCATGCGCCGCCTCTGCCCCCCCCCCCCCCCCACGCCCCCCCCCCCCCCCCCCCCCCCCCCCGCCAAACCCCAAACCCCAACCCCACNCCGGTGCCATGCGCCGCCTCTGCCCCCCCCCCCCCCGCCAAACCCCAAACCCCAACCCCACTTGCCACTAGATCCAGAAATTAAATTCAACCTATATTCAATTGTTAGGTCTAGCCGAATTTCTAGGCTCAAAGATCAAACAGACACGATTAAAAATGAAGACACCTGCTGGTGAGAAACCAGGTCTCTCAGGACTTAAATTTCAAATATGAACAAAAATTGAACAGATGAAATTCGGCGTAACATCAATAACACACACTAACACAACGAAGTGGCTTGGTTTGGTGATAATTCAATACATTTTTTTTCTTTTTTAAGGAACAGGAACCGCTAAGGGTCATTTTCGCCCCGAAACTTTGGCCTAGGGCCTTCAATCCAGCCGGGCCGACAGTTATCTTATTTACTTTTTATTCATTTATTTATTTAATTCTTGTTATCAGTATAGTAGATCATATTTTATTTATTAAATTTGCTTCTGTCAAAAAACTGAATAATTTGGCAATATTTTCTTGGTTGTCTCCTAATATTTCATACAGCTTATTGGGAAGAGAATAAAATTTTCTTAAGTCATGATATATGCGACATGGTAGTAAAATATGTTTTGTTGTTATTATTTCATAGCTTATTCCGCATACAGGAGGAGGGTCACGGGCCATTGAGTGACCCTTGGTGGTCCGGCAGTGTGCCATTCTCAACCTAGTCAATTCAACCTCTATCAGACGATGCCTGTATGGAAAACTTGATTTCACGAAGTTTGTTGTTTGTAAGTGAATGCCGGGCTTTTTTCCATTGCAAATATATTTTCTCCCTAAAGGCCGCAATGAGGTCATCCTTGCTTACCTCCACAACAAGGTTTCCATTTCCAACTGCCTCCTTGGCAGCCTCTCATTGAGGGCCAGGGATACACGAATGGCCAGGAATCCACACTCTTTTCCCTTGCTGCCCAAAGGAGAGAACAATAGATCCTGTACCATAGGATTATTGCTGAAAAATTAAATGTTTGCAGGGCAGCCTTGGAGTCACAGCAAATAACCATTATGTGCTCGTCTGGATGGATAGTGTTGAGGGATTTATTTATGATTATCATTAAGGCACTATAGTTTCTTGCAAGGGGATTTAGAGAAATATTTTTTTTATTTTTCCACAGCTGCTTGTGAATTCTGTGTGTAACGTATGTGCTGAGGGCAGTGCGTTTTTGATTTTTGGAAGCTCCTGTTTGTATATGAAACAGGAGTGGTGGTTTTATTACATTTCGTCAGTGATAATAGAATTTTAAGGTCGGGTAAAAGCCGGGGGGATAATCGATTTGGTTTCTTTTTGGATTGGGAACACTGAAAACCTGTAGGAGCAAATACAATCGGACAAAGAATTTTGTGTCCGGATAATGAGAATAAGAATTAGTCTTAGAAAAGAGGTTATTTAGAGGGTGGATAGAAGACGTATTATCCTAGCATAAAATTTCAGGTCCAGCAAATTACATCGATGGTTTAGGGAGAGCGAACACTTTTGTTTAAACATTAAATATTTATTTCTAAAAAAATAATACGATTTCGTGTTATTCATTATATAATACAGATTTACAAAGGCAAAGATATGATCAACTATTTCAAACGAGACTCCTCCCACCCCAACTATTTAAAGGAAAGACAATCAACCAACAAAAAAAGGAAGAGGAGTAACAATTTATATACTCGGTGTCCCGTGAGCAGACGTCAATACGTCAAGGTGTTATTCTATATGTCAAATGGGACTAAAAAGTCCCTATTGCCCATAGTCCAATTCTTAAGTGTATTCGAGATATTACATTTCACATAAAGCCCCCATATGTATATCATAAAATAATAATCCTACTGTAAATTTGATTACACCAATGGAGAGGCCATTTAAAATCCTATTAGGTTAATATGTTTGGAATAGTATCTTTAACCTAACAAAGTTCAAAATTAGTTGGTACTTTTCGAGAGTTTCCGAAGTTCTTGTCTAAAGTTGAGGTAAGATTTTTCTAGTTCTCACCAGTGTAAAATTGACGTTGAATTGCTAAAAATTCGATTTTTCGGTTACAAATGGTTTAAAAAATTAGTCTAACGTGTTGAAACTCTTATTAAAAATAATGTAAGTACAAAGTAAAAAAAAAGATTTTTTTCAGAGATTTTCTTGTTTTTTTAAATGCTGAGAGATAGTGCTTACTAAAAAGTTCCCCTCCTAGTGAGCTTTAAACGCAAATTTATCAAAGACAGTTACCACCAGCGTAAAATTAACGTTTAATTGTTAAAATTTATATTTTTGGTTACAAGTGGTTTTAAAAATAGTCTTTATGGTGTTAAAAATTCTATTAAAAATAATGAAAGTAATACAAAGCAAAAATAAAAACTTTGTTTCAGAGCCTTTCTTGGCTCTTGAAATGCTGAGAGACGGCGCTTACTGAAAAGTTCCCCTCCAAAGAGCTTTAAACCCGAGTCCTAAATTTATCAAAGGTTAGTTCTCACTAGTGTAAAATTAACGTTTATTTGCAAAAAATTCGATTTTTTGGTTACAAATGGTTTAAAATATTAATCATTAAGGTGTTTGAAAGGTTTGTTAAACTTCTAATAAAAATAATGAAATTAATGCAAAGTAAAAAAAGGAGTCTTTGGTGCAAAATTACATAATAAAAAACAACACGCTTCTAAAAATTAATTAACAATTAAATTAAATGTTAAAAATGTCCACCTTATTGAAGAATATAAGCCTGACATATTTTACTGCTCTCACGAGTTCACCCTGCTTCTCTTCTCTCATAACAATACAAGTTTCCTGAATCCTTCCCATGAGGTCGTTAAGACAGAAACCGTATAGACTTCAGTTTTAACTGTTCCTTATATGTAGAAGTCTAATTTCCAAGTTTAATTTTTTTAGATCAATAAATACAAATGAATCATATTAATTTTAATGAGAAGTTGGTGTCCGAGTGGATCGAAGTCACGATAGCTCAAGTGGTAGAGCAGCGGTATATTTATTGGGTTGTCCGGAAAATAATGCAGGATTTTGGTATTAAACAAAAAAAAAGAAACTAGTTACTTTAAAGCAATGTTCTTTAATCAAAATAATTTCCCATACTCTCAATACATTTCTCCCAACGTGTTGGTAACTTATTAATTCCGTCTGAGTAGAATTCAGAATTTTTAGAATTGATAAAGTCAATAAATGCATTTTCCAGTTCCGTTTGATTTTTGAATATTATGTGTTGTAAGTAGTGGTCCAGGTGTCTAAAAAAATGGTAGTCAGTAGGCGAGAGGTCCGGAGAGTAGGGTGGGTGAGGCAAAGTTTCATAGCCAAGCTCCAATAATTTTTGTGACGTTACACGTGACACATGTGGTCGAGCGTTGTCATGCAACAAAATGGGCCCTTTCCGATTGACCAAAGAGGGCTTCATTACTGCCAATTTCTGATGCATGGTATTAATTTGGTTACAGTATGATTCAGCATTGATGGTTTCGCCAGGATTTAAGAAGCTGTAGTGTATTAAACCAAATGAAGCCCACCATACCGTAACCATTACCTTTTTTTGATGAGTTGGGGGCTTTGGAGCTTCTCCTTTGTCGAGCCACTGTCCAGAACGTCTAGTGTTATCGTAGAGAATCCACTTTTCGTCACATGTAACAATTCTGGCCAGAAATGGGTCATTTTTGTTTCGACAAAGAAGTGATGCACAAACATCAAAGCGCTGATTTTTTTGGCGATCGTTTAATGAGTGTGGAACCCAATTTTCGAGTTTTTTCACTTTTCCAATCGCCTTGAGGTGGTCAGCGACGGTCGTTTTACTGACTTTGAGTTGCTCTGCAAGTTCTCGAACAGTTGTTTTGGGGTTTTCTTCCACCACTGATCGCAGAACATCATCATTAAGAGAGGAAGGCCTTCCACGACCTTCTTCATCTTCAAGGCTGAAATCTCCCTCCCGAAATTTTTTAAACCACCTTTGCACAGTGCACTCATTAACACAACCCTCGCCCCAGACTTGGTTAATGTTTCTAGCCGTTTGGGCTCCGCTTCGGCCGAGTTTAAACTCGTAAAAGAAAATCGTACGAAATTCTCGCTTTGACATTATAAGGATGACTGAATTATTTCCAAGTAGCGGAATGCTACAGAGGTAAACAAACAATATCATTTGGAAGAGGATTAATAAGTGTTGACATTCATACAAATGAGTAATCCTGTAAACGTAAACAGAATATTTTATATAGATTTTTTTTAATGAAAACTTAAAATCCTGCATTATTTTCCGGACAACCCGATAGCAGAAGGTCGTGGGTTCGAATCCCGCTTGTGACGCTTGACTTTTTTATCTCAACCAATACCTTACATAAAGTTTAATTAATTGAAAGACGTTATTTGGTCAATCGGACCACGAACTCTTGTGGATTAATTTTAATGATATTTCCATTGATGACATTTATAGTTAGATTACGATTTTATGAGATACACGGGCTTTATGGGAAAAAGTTGCGAACAGTCTTTTTAGTACCATTTAACATACAGAATATTCTCCTGAAGTATTGACGTCTATTGGTAAAACAAACTGTTGGGCCCAGAGTAGATAACTGATAATCTATTTGTAAGTTTTAAGTTGTTCGTCTACAGAAGGAGTCCAACATACATACTCCAGGGTTCATAATAAAATGCAACACCTACCTTATAATCCGAATTATTTTTTGAAAGAAAAGTTATTCTATTTTTTGGGCTTTGCGTGTTGGTACCTCATCCAGCTTATTTCCTGAAAATTTTCTGCACTTAAAACCCACTACTAGCATCCATTGAATGATTTCGTCTATCATAACTGATTTGATTGTTCAGCAGCGTTTCCTGTTGCAGCCTGCTTGTTGTCTC